TTTTATGTATCTTAGTCAGGTATTGTCAGGGGTTTAACTCTTTCATAAGCACCCTCAAAGAAACAAAAGGAAAAAAAAACCCAAACATTCACAGAAGAAAAAAATGTAAGAGCTTTCCACTGATCCAGGCAGTTGAGTTTTCTTTTCCATCTCTCTGACCTCAAATTCTTAAGGTCTGCTCTAATTTCTTTTGCAAATATTATGAATCTAGGCCAGGTAAAGACCTCATGGAATGGGGTGGAAGAGTAAAGGGTGATTTAGAGGCTATCATCTGCCACAGAACTGGGCAGCAAGGACCCAGCTATCTAGCTGGGGAGACAGACACAAGGGTGGGGGATACTGCAGCTGCCATTGGTCTGGGAACAGATTCGTTCTAGGCTTTCCAACCATGATCCCTGAAAGTAAGGTATGGATCAAGGTCCTCTTGTTTGTGTTATAAGCACAAGAGAAAACAAAATACAATGTAAGAACACAGATGGGCCTGACTCTGATTCTGCTGTGTCCTGGACATGGGCAGGATTTTTTTTTACTGTTATCCATGGAGTAGGACAGGCCCAGAGGTGACGACAGCCCAAGCTTCAGAGAACAGGCAGAAAGCTTGGGTCCCTTCTGGTCCATGGAGAGGGACTAGTTTCTCCAAAAGGTGATTCAGGGGCAAAAACCTGAGTCAAATATCCTGAATCACCTCTCAAAGAGCTTTTCTTTCTATTTTGACGCGGTTGAGGTGGGAGACATGAAGAAACCTGGATGCACGGTTCAAGGTCTGAAGGGGAGCAAAGTCCCATCAGCACCAATGATTTTCACCATCCCAGGGCAGTGGCTGCCAGCAGAGATCCTGTGGGACTTTTACCTTTGCGTTCACCCTGGCCACCCCCAACCCCCCCTGGTCATCCAGACACCGTGACCATGGAGAGGAAAAAGCACAGCCTCTTTCAGAGACGAGCACCCTGGGCTACCTTTCATGGCAGGGATTTTAGCCTACTCTCTCCCCACTCTTATCCGGGGACCTGCACCACCTGGTATACCACAGCGAAGGTCTCATCCTTGGCATGGATCTCCCTTCCCTGGGGATGGTATCTCCTCAGCCTTGCTTGTCTTGCTCCTTGCCAAGGATGCTGCTTGGTCCTAGTACATCTCCTTCCAATCTTGTAGACAACTTTGGACCTTCCTCTGGTGGGCTATGAGTTTTCTCTTCTTCAGGAAGCTCTTCCCACATGTACTACACTGATACACTTGTGTGTCTTCAGGGCTTGGTATAGGGTACCTCCTCACAATGCTTGGCTTTTATTCTTCTTGTTTCCTGCCACTGGTTTTGCTGGTGGAGTGTCCTTCATGCATCCTTGCCTTCGTTTTTGCTATGTGGGGCTGTACAGACTTGGATGGGTGTCTGGAGGGTCTGGAGGCCACATGGCCATGTTCTTGGCTCCCAGCTTTCCCCAGAAGAGTGGTCTGATGTGCAGAGCCAGGTGCTTTGCTTCTGAGGAATGAATGTTTACAGATACTGTGTTTCCAGCCAGCATATGTTTATTCTTGTCTTTATTCAGCTTCACTGAGATTTTTTTCTGGGGGAAGCTCTCACTTCTCCTTCTTCATTTCAATTCCTAGTCTCGTTCCTATTTTTAGCATCCTTTTCATGATATTTCTGCTTTCTTCAAACCACCACACTGTAAACCTGCTGGGCAAGACATGAAAAAACCCTGCATCTCAGTGCCAAAGCTGGAGAAAAAGCACATCCAGAGATGTCATTTATGACATAAGTGCTTGAATTGCCCTAGCTACAGTAAAGAGCAGGAACTGGGGCTTGATGTAGAAAGCATCAGAGTTTGACATTGGGACTCCTGCGTTCAGCTCTGAGCCCCGGCATTGAGTTAGCCCCTCTGCCCCTGCCTCTGCTTCAGTTAATTTCCAAGTTTTGCCTATATATTCACTTTATTTGGAAGGGCGAGTGCATGTTTTACTCCCTCGTTCATTCCTGACCACTACTCTGGTTGTAGCCAACCATGGAAATACCACAGACTTGGTCACATCCACTACCCTTTCTTGCTGTTGCACTCTTAGAACGCATGCTGTTATTTCCATCAAAAGCACTTATACCTACTATTCATTCACCCATTTTAATTTAAGCCCTTAGGAAATCTCAAGAGCCCTTTATTTAAAGTAGACCTGGGTGAATATGTGAGAGCATCTGATCTGCTGTCAAGCCAAGAGTTTGTTCCAGGTAAACTTAAAAATATTTTTCAACCTTTTTCCCTGGAAAACAAACACGAATCTAAACAATCCTTTAAATATATTTTACTTTCACCCCACAATAAAATATTTTGCTTTAGGATAGGCTTGACTTCTTCTAAGGGAAAGAAAAACACCTCCAACCCACCAAAATGTAAAGCTTGCATTTATTTTTTAAGTAAGAAGACTGAAAAGATTTCAAAAGATTTAGCTGTTTTTTTCTCCTCAAGCTCAGCATCTGGCTGACCACACTGGCATACGTTATAGCACAGACCTTCACAGCCCTGTGCCACTTTCCGTGCTGGCTGCTTGGCAGTCAATTTGTGGAAAGCAAGCTGAGTGGAGTTAAGCAAGGTTAGGCTGTGCATTAGTGGCTGAGCTGCTCTGAGTCCCCAGCATCTGCAAGCAATTTGGTGAGCAGAAAGGGGCCCCCTTATATTGAGCTAAAGATGGATCAGGCTTATTAATTGCATGGCGATGTTAAAATGAAAATTCTTTGCTACAGACTTTGTCTGATATGTATCAAGAAAGTCTTTAGGAGATAAAAGAAGTCCCACTCTGATGACAACTAATCACAAGGTGTCCTGGTTAATTCAGACCTGGGGAACACAAGAGTGTTTTGCATAAAAAAGCAAAGCAAATACACTCAAGGAGCATTCAGTAAGGATTCGGAAATACCCCATGGAAATGTTGCTGGGAATATGGTCTCCTATTGATGAGAAATATTTCCAGGCATCAGAGAATCCCTCCTTCCCGTTTCTCCTTCCCTGCTGACTCCCAGTGTCAGTGTAGCAAAGGACAGTGAGACAGTGAGTGTTCCAGCTGCAGGGACAGCCTCCCTCCAGCCCCTTCACTAAGGTTTAGCTGGCTGAGGGTTTCTCAGGCAGATAAGGTCTTGTTAGTGAAGACAATCCAAGCCTATCTTCACCAGGAGCGCAGACATCCAGGACTGCCTCTTCCCCAGCTTTATCCATCCTCCGTGGGACTGAAGTGCCGAGCCACAGGAAGCCTGTGTCAAAAGTGTGCAAAAATTACCCAGAAAAAGAGGAGAGAAAGGGGCTCAAAGGGAGGGAGGCAGACAATGATACAGGAATGGGGCTCCCAGACCATCTGGGCTAGGTGTGGCTGTCATCCCTGAGAGCATCCCTCTTTCCCAGGACCATAAGACAGGGACATGGTGGAGGGCTGGAAAAGCAAAGGTTGAATGTCTACAGGTCCTGCTTGGAACAGGAGCTCCTCATGCTCTGTGCTCCTGGGCTTCAATAGAGGTGAGAAATAAAGAATGTCTATAGGGTCTGGAGTGATTTCTACCATACATCACTTTATGGACAGGAGAAAAGTCTCACAGAGATCAGCTGTGCTCCACCTGTGCCTCGAAGATGCTGCTGTCTGCAGAGTGAGCAAAGGGGTGCTGGTCTGTGACCTGCTTTCCCATCTTTCCTGTTAAATCCATAGGGCTGGGGAGTGTGTGTGTGTGTGAGCTACCTGATTTTTGGGTGGTCTGCCCAAGGAAATTCATCACAAGCTCCCTAGATCGCTCCTGAAGAGAGGAGCAAGAACTGCTCACTCCTCCCTCACCCCACCATGAGCAGCAAATGGAGCCATCAGCTGCATCACCCAACACAGGGCTTTACTGTAGCCTGAAGTCATTGATAATAAATTAATACAAACAGGTAAAGCTGTAAGTGAGATTAGATCCTGCAGGGAAGCCCAGGTTTTCATGTTATTTCCCAGGCTCTGTGTCTCTCCTTCATGTTGTTAGATCTGATGCACTACTCATTTTTGCCATCTGGTCAGAGGCTTTACAGTCACCTCTTCCATACTTCACATTCCCCCCTCCTCTCTCTGCTCTTCAACCTAACCCAAGCTAGTTAAAGTTACCGTAATTTAACTTGATTGGAGTAACACCTTCTTTGCCAGAAGGTTTTTTCTGCTTCACCTGTCCCCTCTGATGGAGAAGTTTTGGGTCCTGCAGTAGTGGATGAATAAACGTGTGCTGCAGCTCATCCATGCAGCAAAAGGCTCTTAGTGATCTCTGCCTGCAGCCCAAGGCCAACACTCCGAGCAGTGACTAGGAACAACTGTTTTTCAGGGCTGCTTAGCTTGTAGTTCACAAGATCAACGTTTCCTCTCTTAAATCCTTTCTCCCCAAAGTGAGCTCACAGCAGTGGTGCTCCCAGCTCTCTTCAGGATTTGATTTTCTGCAGATGTGTCTAAGGGTGAGCAAGCTTCAGCACAGGTACAATGATGGTTTGTTCTTGCATGACTTCAAATCTCTGTTACTCTCCCAGCAGACATTGTCTCTATGTTCAGAACGTCACTGTTCAGTTTGTTCCATTTCTCAGAGGCCAACACACATGAAGAAATTAAAACAATCTGTATCTTATTCCACCTGCAAAGCATTTCATCCTATTTTTCAGAAGATGAAAAAGAAGAAAATCTTCTGACTTAGTAGAGAAGGATCTCCAGAGCTCTGCTTCCTACTTCTGCCTTCAGTTTGCAGCAACTTGGAGGAGATCGATGTCTTTGAAACAGCAGCTCCCCAGGGAAGAGGCCAGACAGAAGCAGAAGACACAGAAATCAGCTTAGGGTGGGAAAAAAGAGCGAGCAGTGGGGCTCTGCAATGTCCCCTGTGGGGCAGCGGTCCTTTTACCAGGGATAGCAATGGGCTCTGATCACCTCCTATGCAATCAGCAGAGAGCCACAGGCCAGGACTGCCCACCTCACCCACCCCATCCCAGGGGCTGCTCTTGTTTTCAGGCCACCACTAGCCCTAGAAAAGGAGAGCACAGATTTTTCTATGACCTTGTTCAGGAAATCTGCAGGTGGGGACTAGTCAGAAGCTTTGGTCCTTTAATGGAGATCTCTCACTTTTGCTTTGTTCCAGCACAACAAATCGCTTTCAAGGGAGGGTCAGGAGATGGAGGCAGTGGCTCCAAATGTGTCTTGTCTACAGACAGACCAGACTGACAGCCTGGTCCCACGTGGTGTCAGCTGGTTGCATCACTTCAGCCCTGGGTGGGATCAGAGGTAGCTAAGGTGGTGGTAAGTAAATACTCATTCCCCGTGGCGGCCACTAGTTGAAAGTGAACATACAAAGCATGTGTAGAAGCATGTGATAATGAGCGTCCTGTTGCTCACCCAGTTTTCACCCTGGTCTTTTTCCTTTCCTCACTCCCCATCATGGGGACACCAGGCTCCCTGCAGCCTGGGATTCTCAAAGAAGTTCTCACGGGAACTATCATGTTCTCAGAGGGCAAACAAACATCCCAGGGCACTTATGTTGGAGCAGACGTTTGCTGTGGCCCCAAAGACCCTCCCATTCTCACCATACCACACTATGCTGAGCGCCAATCGGCTCCACGCGTCCCATTGAAGCACGAAAAACACACAATTGCGCAAGTGCTCCCCAACACAGCCTGTCTCCACCTCTCCTCCAGACAGGCCATGATGAATGCTGGAGACAGAACTGATGCTGAGGTGATACACACAGATAGTCTGTAAGTCAGCAAGGTTATCAAAAAAGTCCCACAGACAAATTCTTCCCGAAAACCACAGAAACAATGTGCGTGGCTAGAAACAGGAGAGCAATTTTCTGAAGACAAGCCTTACCTGACCTGCTGTGCAAGACCAGAAGATTTTTTTAAAAGTCAGAGCTTGGAGCTCTCTTTAACATAACTTGTACTTTGATTTAACTGCATTGGTTTCAGATCGACCGCACTGAATTTATTGTACAGACCTGAAGGCAAAATCACATCTTGTGGGCATCCTTTTCACTTGGTGACTGAGACTGCTCGGGGAATGCTTACAGACGAGGTTTTTGGCCTAAAATCTGTGCAGTGGAGAATGTGGTAATGATTTTGATTTTAAGCATTTTATTATTGTCTGGGAGCTCTCTTAATGAGTTTAGGGAGAAAAGGGTGAAGGCTATTTTGTTACCGTGAGGATTTGGCTTTGTTCAATCCTCAGATAAATCCATTTTTTCTCATGGAGCTGGGATTATTCCATGGTCGTGATCCAAACCAAACACAACCAGCAGCAGCAGACACCAGAGCTGGCAGCCCAAACTATCTGCAAGGCGTCTCTTTGGAGGTGTCCTTGCAGAAGTCACCGTGTAATGTCCCAGGCAGATCCTGGTGGTACCCAAGGAAGACTCCCTTTGCACTTTGAGCATTGTGCTCTCACAGGTGGGATGCTGAGGGTGGAGTTTACCTCATGGATGAAAACACTCATACTTAGCACACTATTTCAGTTTCTCACACCATGGTGCCTGGCATCATTTGAGATGCCCTAAGACGCCCTTCCTGGCCTCCAGCTGCTCGTCTAGAAAGGTCAAGGCCTCCCATAAGGCCTGTGTCCTTCTAGCCCCATGCAGACACTTTTGGGCACTTCACAGAGAACCTATGGTTGGGTCACTGACTGGAGCCTTGGGGTCAGTGTGTGGTGGTCCGAGCTCTCAGCATAGTCAGTGGAGAGCTGGTCAACACAGTCAGCAGAGCCTGGAGGGCTCTTCACCAACTACATCCACTCAGTATGCATCCTGCTCTGGCATTGTTCACCTGTTGTGTTGTGGGTAGAATATAGTGTGGTTCTCTCAGTGATAGCTTATGGAAAACAAAAACAAAACCAAAAAAGATGCCCACTTTATTTTCTTTTTCCTTTAAATACTTCCTTTATTGCGGATATTATCAGCCTTGATTTTCCCCAGAACCTGGGACACCTACACTGGCCATGGTCAACAGTGGAAGATCCAGTGATATCCAGGAAAGCTACTGACATTGACTCACTGTCCTGAATATGTGCAGGGACGCAGTAATACAACTGGCAAACCTTCCACACCAGTTCCTCTTGCTGGTAAAAACATCTACAGCCCTACACTAGGCTAACAAAAAGGAAATAAATTCCAGCCACATGGTGATTACTTTCTCCTCACTTGCTAAGGGTTGAGGCTGGGCTGGCCACTGGGCTCTGCTGGACCTCTGCCCCTCAGCAAGCCTAACAGAGGCTTTTTTGCTTCTCTAGCTTGGCTCAGCCATATTCTTCCCAAGGAACACAGTTTTCCAGTCCTACAGTGAAGCATCTACCCATTATATGGCCCAGACCCAGTCTGTCCAACAACGGTGTCCCTCAGACACCCCTAGAACATCCTA